GTAACCCTGAACCCCACGAGAGACAGACAGAGCCAGGCCGTAGACCCGAAACCCTACACGTAGAATCCCAATTCAAGGGTTTAGAGTGTAGGGTTTTGGGTTTAGGGGTTTAGGGTTTAGGTTTTTAGGGGTTTAGGGGTTTAGGGGTTTAGGGGTCTAGGGGTTTAGGGTTTAGGGGTTTAGGGGTTAAGTGTTTGGGGTTTAGGGCGTAGGGGTTCAGGGGTTTAGTAGGGTTTAGGGGTTTCAGGGTTTTTATGTAGAGGTCTGAAGAGGTAGTAGTAGTGTCCGCTAGTGGCCCTCACATATACAATCATAATGCAGCGACATGCCCCCGAAGCATTTTCTCATCGTTTATAGAGGTCTCCACACTTGGCATCCCTTCTGCTCCCTAAATGACCATACTAAAACAAGCCCCCGAAGTAATTTTAAGACCCTTAAGTCTCTAATGTAGGGGCCTAAGCAGTTACCAATCCTGTTGTGGTGGTTCCCTATTATAATCATTGTATAATATACCCCAAAAACCCTATTCTAATTATCAAGGCCCCCATATTATATCCGGGTCTTCGCGTTGAGGGCTTCGGGCCTATCGATTTTCTGCTCTCTGGAGGACCTTGGGCTCTGGTTTGTTGTTCATGAGGATATGGGAGTTTCCGAAAATTAGGTACCTTATTTGGGGGTCTTTATAATAAGGATCCTACTATTTAGGGTCCTATATTAGGGTCCCCCTATATTCGGAAACCCCCATATGGGGTTGAAATCAGAAGCCAAGCGAGCGTAGGATGGGATGTGCTGATGTGGGCGGCGCTCAGCGGCCACTTTGAGTGCCCCAGCTGCGCTCCGAGGGATTGGGCCAGAATGCTTCAGGTTTCAGAGGTTTCGCGGGTTTAGGGTTTAGGGGTTTAGGGCTTAGGGATAGGGTTTCGGGTTTAAGGGCTGGAGGATTTGAGGTTTTGAATTTTAGCCCTTTAGAAGGAGCATCCTTTCAATCGGGAGCCTTTGTCGGATACGATGTATGTTGCTTGATGTACGGGTGTCGGGCGGGCTCTCTGGATGTAGATTCTAAAGTTCGAAGCTGCACGCCCCAAAGCTCACTCCTTGGGGGCCTGTGGCTGTCGGCTAGAATTATATAGGGTTCCCCAAAGAGACCATGATCTTGACACTTTTGTGTTGTCTAGGTTTTGAGGTCTCTCAAAAGCACGACCCTTAAACCCTTAAGCACTTGAATCCTTAAAACCCCAAACCGAATCCTTAAACCAATAAACCTTAAAACCCCTAAACCCTCAAGCCCTGGACCCTAAACCCTAAACCCTAAACCCTCAACCCTAAACCCTAAACCCTAAACCCTAAACCCTAAACCCACTGCCCTGAGCTCTTCAGATCACGCGAGGATTTGCGAGCTCCTGGTCGGCACTTTTCACATGTCGCCAGACTATGCCACCGAGAAAGGACCGAGCGAGAACGTCACGCACACACACACATACACATTTAGGGCTTAGGGTTTAGGGTTTAGGGTTTAGGGTTTAGGGTTTAGGGATAGATAGATAGATAGATAGCTAGTTTAGGGTTTAGGGTTTAGGGTTTAGAGTCACGGGCAAATTCAAAAACCTCAAGGCAATCTCTTACCGACAGGAGAGACTGCGTTGATGAAGGCGGCGGCGAACGGCCATTGGGACGTGTGCGAGTTCCTGATTACGGAGGGGGCCAAGGCAACTCGAATCCTGAAAGAAGGGCTTCAGCGGCTTATCAACCCTAAGCCCTAAACTGCCCTAAACCCCTGAACCCCTAAACCCTGAACCCCCAAACCCTAAACCCTAAACCCTAAACCCTAAACCCCTAGACCCTAAACCCTAAACTCTTGAGTTTTCACAGGGGCTTTCAGTGTTGTTCTGGAAAGGGCGTTGGACAGGGTCCATTCTGCAGCCTTCTCAGGTCAACAGTTCAGGGCTGCTACTAAGACCTTTAGGGTTTAGGGATTATCGGGCTTCTAG